CACTTGGTGAATACCTCCTGATAATAAAGGACACTTGGTGAATACCTACTGATAATAAAGGACACTTGATGAATACCTCCTGATAATATAGGACACTTGGTGAATACCTCCTGATAATATAGGACACTTGATGAATACCTCCTGATAGTAAAGGACATTTGGTGAATCCTCCTGATAATATAGGACACTTGGCGAATACCTCCTGATAGTAAAGAACACACACTTGGTGAAGACCTTCTGATAATATAGGACACTTGATGAATACCTCCTGATAGTAAAGGACACTTGGTGAATCCTATTGATAATATAGGACACTTGGTGAATACCTCCTGATAGTAAAGGACACTTGGTGAATACCTCCTGATAGTAAAGGACACTTGGTGGATACCTCCTGATAATATAGGACACTTGGTGAATACCTCCTGATAATAAAGGACACTTGGTGAATACCTCCTGATAATACAGGACACTTAGTGAATCCTCCTGATAATAAAGGACACTTGGTGAATACCTCCTGATAATATAGGACACTTGGTGAATACCTCCTGATAATACAGGACACTTGGTGAATACCTACTGATAACAAAGGACACTTGGTGAATACCTACTGATAACAAAGGACACTTGGTGAATACCTCCTGATAATAAAGGACACTTGGTGAATACCTCCTGATAATACAGGACACTTGGTGAATACCTACTGATAATACAGGACACTTGGTGAATACCTACTGATAATACAGGACACTTGGTGAATACCTCCTGATAATAAAGGACACTTGGTGAATACCTCCTGATAATAAAGGACACTTGGTGAATACAAAGTGATTAAACCCGCTTTAACGTTTCAAATTCTCAACAAAGTGGACCATTAGTTGTAAAACTCTCGTCCCTTGAACACCTAAGTTATGTATATGTTATAGCTAGAATCATTCGATGTGTACAACAATAAGTTTGTTAAAAAATGACCTACTTTTATACACATTGCAGTCCTTGTCTTCAATCACATCGCCATCGGAATACGATTTAGAAGTGAGATAGCAGGTGGCTCCACAGTAGGCGAATCCCCTAAAATGGTAACAAAAACAACATGTTTGCAGGAGTACTGAAAGGAAGTTAGTGTACTGGTCAAGGTATACTTGTAGGAACACTGAAAGGAAGTTAGTGTACTGGTCAAGGTATACTTGTAGGAACACTGAAAGGAAGTTAGTGTACTGGTCAAGGTATACTTGCAGGAAAACTGAAAGGAAGTTAGTGTACTGGTCAAGGTATACTTGCAGGAACACTAAAAGGAAGTTAGTGTACTGGTCAAGGTATACTTGCAGGAATACTGAAAGGAAGTTAGTGTACTGGTCAAGGTATACTTGTAGTGACACTGAAAGAAAGTTAGTGTACTGGTCAAGGTATACTGGTGTTGTGGAACAATATACAAACTGATATTGTTGAACAATATACAAACTGGTATTGTTGAACAATGTACAAACTGGTGTTGTGGAACAATGTACAAACTGGTATTGTGGAACAATGTACAAACTGGTATTGTTGAACAATGTACAAACTGGTATTGTTGAACAATGTACAAACTGGTATTTTGAAACAATGTACAAACTGGTATTGTTGAACAATGAACAAACTGGTGTTGTGGAACAATATACAAACTGGTATTGTTGAACAATATACAAACTGGTATTGTTGAACAATGTACAAACTGGTGTTGTGGAACAATGTACAAACTGGTATTGTTGAACAATGTAGAAACTGGTGTTGTGGAACAATGTAGAAACTGGTATTGTTGAACAATGTACAAACTGGTATTGTTGAACAATATACAAACTGGTGTTGTGAAACAATGTACAAATTGGTATTGTTGAACAATATATAAATTGGTGTTGTGGAACAATGTAGAAAGTGGTGTTGTGAAACAATGTACAAACTGGTGTTGTGGAACAATGTACACACTGGTATTGTTGAACAATGTACAAACTGGTGTTGTGGAACAATGTACAAACTGGTGTTGTGGAACAAGGTACAAACTGTTGTTGTGGAACAAGGTACAAACTGGTATTGTTGAACAATGTACAAACTGGTGTTGTGGAACAATATACAAACTGGTGTTGTGGAAAAATATACAAACTGGTATTGTTGAATAATGTACAAACTGGTGTTGTGGAACAAGGTACAAACTGGTGTTGTGGACCAATGAACAAACTGGTGTTGTGAAACAATGTACAAACTGGTGTTGTGAAACAATGTACAAATTGGTGTTGTTGAACAATATACAAACTGGTATTGTTGAACAATGTACAAACTGGTGTTGTGGAACAATGTAGAAACTGGTGTTGTGAAACAATGTACAAACTGGTGTTGTGGAACAATGTACAAACTGGTGTTGTT